ACCCCCTCCTGACAACCTTGAAGCTCCATTCCAGAAACTTCCCCACTTATGCTATTCATCACAATGCTCATTTGAACAATGTTCCTACACAACTCCTCTTGTGGGAGGTAGGGTTGTTACTTTGGTAATGGAGTACTTGATTAGTGTGGGTTGTCTTCCAATAGACTTGGGTTTCTAATTTGCTATTGTTTTCTCTGCTGATGAGAATATCCAGGAAGGGTAGCACTGAGGGGCACGAAGTGGAGAAATACTATACGTGCGATTCCTATAGGAAAGCAAGAACTTATAGTTGATCCTTCACAGCCTACCCATATCTGAAACCTCCCAAGGCACAGAGGAATTAGCCTGTAATCCCCCCCATCCTGAAGGTACCCCTTCCTGATGGTAGAGATACATAAATGTAAATTAACTCAATGACCCTTCCCTGGATATTGTCTCTTTGTGATAACGAGATGTCAACCATACCAGACCTCCCAGCATTGTATAAACGAGATGTCAATCAGCAGTCATTCACCATAATAACCTAAGTTTGCACCAGTATGACACACAAGGTCATAAAGCGGCTCCTAACCAATCATTATTCTTCCTTTTGACTCTGTTTTCTTGAACTCAATGTGTAAAAACCCAGTTTCTTTTGTGTTTAGTGTGCCTCTTTTGACAGACGTAGCCCCTTTACTGCTCTGCAACAATAAAGGAAACTTCTAAAGGTTTCTCGTGTCTGGCGAAGTTATTGGCAGTCGTCTCTGGGCAAGAACCCCGTTTTGGGTCCAATAGCATGTTGTTGTTGTCCTCCTCTCTAGTCAGTTTTATTCCTTTGAAGATCTTGTTGATAGTTTCATGTGTCTTCTATAGTTGCTCCTTTTTTATTATAACAAAGGTGTCATCTACATACCAGATCCATACTTTTGGTTGTATGTGTGGAAGTGCTATAGTTTCTAAGTGTTGCATTACAATCTCTGCAATGAGTCCTGAGAGTGGTGATCCCATGGGTGTGCCTCTGATTTGCTGGTATATTTGTCCATCAAACTGAGAATAGGTAGTGAGGCAGAGGTTGATGAGGTCCATGATTCTGGGTATTTCGATCTTGGTGTATTTGGTTAGGTCGAGTGTGTTGTGTAGTACTGCCAATATGGATTCTTTTGCTAGACCCAAAGATGTTACCTAGCCAGGTAACAAAACGTTTGCAAGAAAACAACCAAGCTCAGAGAACCACAAGGACTCCACTATAGTTTTTTCTTTTCTTTTTTCTTTTTATAGTTATTTCTGGGTGGGGTGGTTCCTTCATTATTTTTGAAACAGTAACATTATGGGCATGATGTACTGTATAAGGCTGAATGCCATGGGTTGTATGTTTGTTCATCTAGCTAACAATGGAAACAGCTGCAAAACTGCTCTAAAAACTGATTATGTAAGTTGACAATATTGAGAGGTGGTTCTTGCTTCAAAATACATTATGTTTTATTAAAATAAAACATTTAGTATTTGATTTATCTCTTTAATATGCTGCTCTCATTATAGAAACAGGTGATAGTGCTTCAACTAGCCTCATTATGATATATCTCAATACAAATGATACATCTGTCTTCATTCCAGGCTCATTCTTGTACACTTAAAATCACCATGGATTTAGACCAGAGGGGAGAAGAAGAGCCTATCTTGTGTTATTTATTGTCTCATTAATCCCTGGTAATGGAGAGTTTCTCTTAGAATTGTAGAGTGCTTCAGATTCCCCCAAAAGGGTCCAAGTGTAGCATCTATCTGCAACTCTTTAAAGCAACTAAATCCTTTTCAGGATTCATGTAGCTGCCCTCCTCTTTTCCCAGAAAAAATGAATAGAAGAATGCTTCAATAGGCTGGGTCATGAATTTATGACTACTCTGGCATGCATTTAGCTGGACCAAATCATTTGAACCTAAACGCATATCAAAGGATTCTCTATTTGCAAAGAATTAGATCATAAGGATGATGTGGATATGTTGATTTCTGAAATACAAATTGATATGGGCAACAGAAGTAAATCTTCCAAGTCATCAGCTCATTTGACTTGTTCTGAAAATGAGCAAGGCTCTTGGCTTACGTGAATGTGGCTATCTGCATATGCAATAAGGGTGGAAAAGTACAGTATGCACTCTTCGCAGCCTACGCTTAACAACAGCAGATGTTGCTGTGGATGGTTTCACCTATTTCTCTGGGATTCATAATCTTTTGTTTGATGATGATATGCAAAATTAACATTGGAAGGTAGGAAGCAGTAGCCTATTAAACTTTTCTCTACCACTTTCCCTCCAGAGCTCTTCCATTTTTTTCTTCCTGCTCTGTACAGCAATACCTCCTGGATTGTTTCCTGCTCAAGTGAAGAGAAAGGGGAGGAGGAAGAGTCATTTTTGTGTCGCCCTGTCCCCGCAGCTTCTGCTCTGCAAATAATTCTTCATATTCTCAGTTTGTCAGATGCAACCACGTGGTTTCTGCATTTTGTGGGTATCTACCACTCTAGGAAACA